TTTTTTAAAAAGTTTTTAAGAAATTGCTTCTATCCAAGTATTATCATCAGTGTGAGATCCACTATCAGCTGTATTTCTAATCCATTCATCTGTGGGTGCTGATCTCATCTTTAAAGGCCTAATCACCCTTTTACAAAGGCCAAAGAGTCAATTAATATTTGTCTAACTTCTGGAACTGAATATCATTCTATTTACAGCTGAAGCCAATCTATTAAAAAATATCAGTAAAGGATTCTTTTGGACCTTGTATAATTTTAGTAAATGAAACAGTTCCCTTTCGTGATTCTTCCAAGCATTCAAAGCTGCATTATAGCATAGAGCCAAGGTATGATTATGACATGTAATTCGTCTTTGCAAATCAGCAAGCTGGGCCTCACCAAGAAGCTATTCTTGGGAAATTTCTATACCTATGACCTTACTTCCTTGTTCTATGACCCTTGCGTCTTCTCTCCTCTACGTTTTCCATTCTAACTGAGGGCCAGCTTCCAGTACTGTTATAACTAAATCTTCCCAGTTTTGTGGAATAATTTTGTGGCTCATGAATTTAACATCTGTTTCACAAAGGGTGAATGCACACCACATGAAATGACTGCTTCCCTAAATCTCTTCAAATCTAACACTTGTACAGGACCCCAGGTAACTTCTGAATAGCCTTGAGGGTGCCTATCCTGATGGTTGTTCTTGAATGGTAATTGAATAAATTAAGGTTGTTTTTTTCCTCTTCAGTTTCATAGTACAGTGGTGTGGTAGGTTCTGTTTTAAATTCTTCCGTCTGTGCGTGGATATTTTCCTTAGTTTCATTAATAGGCCTTTTAAGGATTGTATCTTATCAGTCAGTTTCTCACATTTGTCACTGATAACAAAACCTTTTAAAGGATAAAACTTGAGTTACCAAATCAATAATAATTACAACTGACATTATGTCAGTCCTGGCTAAGTTGATTATCCCTTCATTTAATCGTTCCATTTTCAGATTGTGCATTGTGGAACCATACAGAGACCTAAGCCCTGCATTGTAATATTGTTCCTCATTCTTAACATGAGGAACTCCCCCCCCCCCTTTAAAAAACCGAATCCCTGCCTCAAGAATTCCTAGGTGTCTCACCAGATCTGCTATTGATGACCACAGTGGAGTGTGAAGTTGGCTGTTGCTGTACAGCATGTCTGATCAGAGAATGTGGGCAGGGTACAACGTGGCTATTGCTTTATATTTTCTTCCAGAGTTTCTTCCTAGTCTAAATTACTTTTGAAATTATATAGCTTCACTTGAATCATGCCCGGTGTCTCTTTTCCTGTTCCATCTCCTTTTGAATTTTGAACATTGTTTGTGTCTGTCAATTATGCTAATTCTTTTACTAAATCTAGTAGCTTCCTTGTAGAGACTGTTTCTGATCCTCTGTAGAATTATTTATATTTGATAACTGTAATTGTACTTCTTCCTTTGCAATCTGGAATTTTAACTCTTTTGTGTGTGTTTTATTATACTAGCTAGAGAGTCAAGGATGACACTTAGGTTGGAATGGTGAGAACTGTCTTCTCTGTCTTGATGTCTTTCTTAGGAAGGTTTAATGTTGGGTGTGCTGGGTAAGTTTGGTTTCCCTTTAGAGTTGGATGTTATTATCACGTTGCAGTTTCATTCTGCTCTGACTTTACTGAGATCTTTGTTCTTTTCACATGGAAAATTTTTATGGGGGGGGGAAGCAAGGGAAAAGAGAAGTGGGGGCACAGAGCGGCCTGGGGAAGGACAGAGGTAGAGATAGAGAGAGAGGGTACAGAGAGTGGGAGAGAGAGAGAGAGAGACAGAGAGAGACAGAGAGAGACAGAGAGAGACAGAGAGAGACAGAGAGAGACAGAGAGAGAGACAGAGAGAGAGAGCAGGAGAAAGATTATTGAGATCTTATTCTATATGGAGGTTGTATTTCTGCCACAGTGTCTGTTGTGATACAGTGTTTTCCCTATGTTGTGTCCCCTAATGTATTTCACTTACTGATTTTGTATGTTCAGTGAACCCTACAGTCCAGCAATAGATCCTGCTTGGTCATAAGTACTGCTGGTTTTGTTTCTTTACTTTTGACATATTATTATATTCAATTTGCTCATTGTTAAGAATTTTGCATCTGTATTCATAAAAGGGTAGTAAAAGTGATGTGTGTATATGTGTGTTTCTTGTTCTAACTTTGGTTTTGATATTAGGATACTTCTGGCTAAGATTAATTTTCTGGAGGAAGGGTTTGTATAGAACTTAGTTTTTAAAATGTTCAATCAGCAGAGAAGCTATTTGGGCTGAGAATTTTAACTATAAATTCAGTTTCTTCGGTAAATACGAGATTATACTGGATCTCTCTTCTGTTACGAGTGATACTTGATTTTATGTCTATTTTATTTTAATTGTCAGATTTATTGTTCCAAATCTGTAAGTACATACTTGAAATTTGTGAATACTCCCGTCGGTTTTAGTAGGATTTATCAATTTTTATTATCTTAACCAGTTTTATTTCATTGATTTTGTTTCTGTTATTTTGGTTTTGCTTTTTATATTATATCATCCCTTCGGTTTCAGGGTAGATGCTCACACTGATTTACTGCTTCTACTTAGGCTCTTAGTAGCACACATTCCCTTGCAAGTACTGTCTTAGCTGTAGTATGGAACTTTTTATGTATTTTCATTTTCATTAATTTTGAAATATTATATAATTTTTCTTTGGGTATCACTTTAGACCCAATGGATTACCTAAAAACGTGTTACTGTTTTAAACACATTTAGAGACATTCAGAGATCTTTCTGTCACTGACTTTTTACTTAATTACATTGTTGTCCAGAGGTCAAGCTTTTCTGCTTTTCTTTCAGATGTTCAGAGATTTGCTTTATCAAGTTACAGTTTATTAAGTGTCCTGTTGTTAAGTGGAGTAGTCTATAAATTTTATACCGAATTACTTGATAATGTTAAGCTATTTTACAGTTTTAAAATGTGAAATTAAAGGTGTGTTTGTTTGGGGCTGACAGTATGGCACAGTGATTAAGAGCACTTGCTGCTCTTCCAGAGGATGCAGGTTTGGTTCCCATTCTCTACAAGCAGCTCACAACCATCTCTAACTTCAGTAATAGGACTTTTTTTTTTTTAAAGCATTTAGTATGATTTTTTTTTAAATCAGTGTATATTCTAGGTTTTTTTTTTTTTGTGGTTTTGTTTTACAGAGGTTATATTATCTCCCATCTCTCATGCTCATTTGTAATGTGGTCTGGATGCAAACTATGGAGTTCAGTTCCTTCCCACCTAAAGAGGGGCATCCCTAAAACTTGGAATCATAATGATGCTGTATGGTTTGGGGGGACAAGATCAGGAAAGGCCACATGGGGTTTATCTGGCTGTCTCGAATTGCATCACCTCTAGACATTCCTTCTCAGACTGCGGTCTCCTGAGCCACCTGCCAAACTGAGAATTCATACGAGACAGAGAGGCCTGTAGGTGACCTACAGCTAAACAAGACTTGCCTATGACCATTCCAGCCCAGATGTCAGATGCAGAGGTGAAGAAAGAATTGATTGTAAACCAGTCCTCTAGTCACAGCTTTGCGGATGTTGACATCAACACCAGTCACTGAGCCCTAGCATAGAAGTCCTCTGACCTTAGGATCCTTGAGCATAAACATGGTTCTCAGTCATTCAGTAGTAATAAGGCGATCACTTGGGATAAACATGTTAGTTCCTGCATCTGAAAGCCTTTAACCTCACTCCTGATTGGGGTTAGACTCTTGCGGTCGTAGGCATGAGGAAACCACCTCTCAGAGACACCAAGTAACTTCTGTCATCTTTCCGCTCCGTGATCCGGTAGAAGTCCTGTCCATTGTGCCCTCACCTTTGTGGGCACCGCACCTTTCATTTTGCAGGTTTAGGCATTTTCTCCAGCTGCATTTAGACAGTCCTTGCCCCACTTCTGTCTGAGGCCTCATGTCTGTTTATTTGTTTCTCTATTTTTATTGTAATTTTTTCAATATCCTCTCTCTTAGGTTTTATCTCTTAGGAGTCGCTTACTCTTTTATAAATTGTGCTTGGTTTTTCCGTGCCACTTTGTCCTTTAAGCTGAGGTGATTCTTGGATGCTTTGTCCTTGGTTGCCTGGTGTGTGTGTGTGTGTGTGTGTGTGTGTGTGTGTGTGTGTGTCATACCCAAAAGCCATTGATAGGTTTTTACCGGAGTTTAGAGGCTCCAAATCTTAGAGAATTCCTGGGGAACTCCCTGGACTTTGGGGGTTAAGCACCTTTCTTTTACTCTGGCAGCGGATGGTTAGTGACTGTGGGTGCTGCTTTGGTTCTGCATGGGGTAGCACCCACTTTGGCTTCAGTTTTCCTGGGGCACTCATGGAAATGCGGCATCTCCTTTAATCACATCTCACCTCCCTTTTGTCTTTTGAACTCCGTGCGGATTTATAAGGAAACCTTTACTTTCCAGCGCGCTCAGAATTCAGGAGCGTGTGGGCTGTGGTTGCAGTTGCTCGTTTGCAGTTTCAGCCCGTGGTGGATGGTGTATTCAGAGGGCTCGGAAATCACACACAGTTTCATAGGCCTCTGCAGTTCCGGTCTTCCTGTGCCAGTTATAATTTCTTAGGCTGCTTGAACCCAAGGTGGGGCACACTTCTCACGTATCTTTTAATGTTGTGTCTTCATCTATCCCTGCATCTCAGTATCTGAAAATCAAAACATTTGCAAATTACATTAATACGAATGAGATTCAGACTTTAAATTTGTGCCAAGTCTGAGTAGAATACATTAACAGAGAATGTTATAATAAAATTTATAGAGATTTCTTTAGAAACGTGTTGCTTGTGACCTTCCCATTTTCTTTTATATAAAAATATTTTAAATGATTTATAGTAATCAAAACTTTATCCTGTAGCAAAAGAGCCATTGAAAACATGTTTGCTCAGGTAAATAAACTATAATGTTAGCATCATGTTCCCCTATCTGGTTATTGATCTGACAGCACCATAAAATCTCTTTCAGAGCAGCATCTCAGACATGTGGAGAAAGATGTTCTGATCCCCAAAATAATGAGAGAAAAGGCCAGAGAGAGGTGTGCTGAACAAGTTGAAGGTAAGATTCATAAATTCATATAAAGATCAAACTCATTTGTAATAATATGATGTGAATTTAATCCTCTGCCTCAAAGTCAAATAGTCAGTGAATTAATATGTATGAGTTGCTTCTCACCCTTCACCAGAAACCAGCATTCCAGGTCTCAGACTTCCAGTCAGCCTTCAGTTCATTTACAATTTAAAAGCACATCTCCAGTTTAGGAGCAAAAAGCCTCCTTCCCAGAGTGTAGTTTACTGAGAAGACCTAGATGTGAATGTTCTGGAGAGAGAGTCAAGTATGCTGCGGGCCTTGGCTGCATCTGAAGCCTGGTCTGGTGTAGCACACACAGGCTCACAGAGCGATGGCTTTCCTTCCTGTTGAGTCTTGCTGAACTCGTTTTGTGGGTACTCTGTTTTGTCTTGTGTTTTGAAGTGGAAGTTACTTATGTAAGTCACGTACTGTTCCTATGTATGGTAATTTTAGAAATATTGTTGATTGGTATGTAACACACTGGTAAAACACAAAGTGATAGGAACTGGGACCATCATAGGTCTGTAGTTGATGGGCTGTTAGAAAAGTAGGCAGGAACTTTACTGTAGATAGGTCTTTAAAAAGACTAGACCTCTTGGATTGGCCATCATTAACAAAAGGCAGCAAAATTTTGCTGATGGGGTGGGGGAGATGGCTCAGTGGTTAAGAGCACTGACTGCTCTTGCAGAGCACACAGTCATCTGTAACTCCGGTTCCCCCTGATACCCTCGTTTGTCCTGTTGGGCACCAGAAATGTATACCATGCACAGATGTATGTGTAGGCAAAACACTCATAATGCATAAGATGAGAATAAAGTCTTATTGTTTTATGCTGAGATAGGCTCTTTTCCCACCTCCTTCCCTCCCTGTACCCATAGTCACCTTTGTCCAAGCATGCCAGTGACTTTTAGTGAGATCCCTGCGAGTTTCTCTCTGGGGAGTCAGGTTGTATCAACTCTAGTTTTATGACTGTCAGTAAAGTTACCATGCTAGGGACCTTTTTCTTCTTTTCCTCTTTCAACTCTCGAGTCGACTTCTGGAATACAGCGGAGGCAGTGAAACAGGACCAGTGCCTATGGTAGCATTGTGTTGCTCGCGTTGTATGACTTGGGTGAATCGTATATTTGAAATCCTCTATCAGTTTGTAATTTAAAATCATTCTGTGATCTTACTCTTGCCTGAAAAGTCCTTCTGTTACGTTGCTCTTGTTTGAGGTCCTTCTGTTGTACTGACTGCTATGCTTTCGTTGGAGACTGGTTGTTTATCCAGCGCTCCTCCCTCCAGCTCCCTACCCCAGGTGTCTGCAGAAATTAGCCCATTGGCACCTGCAGGGGTCAGGACACATCTGGTGTTGGCAGGTGTCACACTAATAATCTCAAGGGGTGGTTTTCCACTTGCCTCATGGGACTTTTCAAAACACAATCTTTTTCAGGGGAGGCAAGGGAAACCTTCAAAGTGGAATAAAGTTCTTGGAGTAGAACTTCCGCTACCAGGGAAATGAGTTCCTAGAATCGCCGGTCCAGAGGAGTAAACACAAGTGCATCTGTTCTGTTTTGTAGCCCGTTACCGTGGTACCTCGAGTGCGAGGAATCTAACTTAGTTACTGGGTAACTTGTAAGATTTGGATGAAAATGCAGAGTAACTGTGTGATTCTGGGTTTCAGAACCGCACTGACTTTAGAAAATGATTCTGTTTTGGTTCCTGAGATGAGAGAGTGAACTGTAAAATATTCGTGCTTTATGGTAACTACTTTATAATGGCAGAAAACAAAACTTGCAGTTTCAAGTTCTATCAAGAGTTATTTAGCATATTAAGATTTTGGTTTTAAAAATTCCATTATTTTTCCTAGTAAAAGCATCTTAGTAAGTGGCTGGTGAGATGGCTTAGTGGTAAAGGCATTTGCCACCAAACCCGAAGACCTAAATTTCATTCCAGTCCTCTGACCCCCCAAAATGCATCTTGACACATACACCGCACACATATAAAACATGCACACACACAATAAATGAGTAAATAAATGTAAACTGTGCATTACAGCATCTCAGAATTTGAAATTCATTTAGATTATTTTAATGATTTCCCATTACTAGGAAGCATGCTGTAATTGATTTCTGAATATTTGAATATTGACTTTTTAAAAAAAGACTGCTCCTAAATAGTGCTTAGAACGTAAAATTATTTTCTGGACACACAATGCTCCTTAGTCTCCATTTGCCGTGTGACGGGAGTGTGCACTGGTGTTAGTCCCACAGGCGGTTCTGAAGCAGTAAGTCACAGTTGAGAGCCAGGATATTGCCTTTTATGTACTGTTTATATTCTTCCTTGTTACATGATGATAGGATTTCACTTAGGAGCATCTTGTATGCTAATTGTATGGTTTCTGGATAAAGATCTAGGAATTTTAAGAAGCATTCTGACTTTCTGCTAAATGTCAGAACATGCTATGCAGGAAAGCTTTTCTGTTTACTTTTTTCCCCCATGTCCTTTCAACCCAGCTGGTTGTGAGAACTGGGTCAGACTGGCAGCAGCTTAGGTTTGTGAAGGAGATAGATGGAAGCCTTTCTAGGGATGGCAAGAGGTGAAGTCACTTTCGGTGAAAGACGGGTGCCTTGTTCTAGGCACCGGCGGCGGTTATTGACAGCTACCCTTCCTATTAACAGCGAGCATTTAACTAAGCGTTTGCCTGTCGAATCTTTGGACTTGATCTAATTTGCTAGCATTAATTAGTTTCTTTTGAGCACAGACACTTGGTACTCACAGCTATAGATTTGGAGGGCTAATTAGGGTAGAAAATGGAACAGAATGGGGTAAGGCATTAACCTTCCACCATTACCAGCTGGGACACCGATAAAGCCCAGAGTCCAAATGGTGGCTATTGATGTGAAGAGCGGCCTGGTGACTACCGTTTCGGACGGGGCTGTGGTCTTACCAGTGCTCTCCCCATTATGACTTTTAACCAGCGTCTATGATACCTTTGTTATCCATGCACTATTGAGTTTTACTTTACCACTATTTAGTCTAAGTTTCCCATTATATTGAGGTTTAGAGCAATAAAACTGGCTTTAAACAATAGGTAATGTTTAAAACTTTGACTATTTTATTTCCAAGTGATAAAGTTTAACTTTAGTATACAATGGTGTGATTCTGTATCTGTGTACCTCCTAAATGCTGGGATTAAATGGGTGTGTGTGTGTCACCGTGCCTGGCTGTAAATGCCTGTAATCCCAGTGCTTGGGATGTGGGGGCTGGAGCATCCAGTGTTTGAGACTAACATATGCTGTAGATGAACCCTGTCTAATGTGTGTGTGTGTGCATGTGTGTTTTATACATATATAAAATAAGAAACACAAATATGGGTTTCTTTTTTGGCAACCAACCGTCTTTTGAAACTTTATTATGTAAAGGCAGTATATATATATACAGAGAGATTAGATACACAGTATTGTGATTTTATTAGTGTAAACTCTGACAAGTCTAACTTTTATATTAAAAGAAAACTTTATATCAGTCCTATTCTGCCAGTAGTATTTGTGCCCATGAATAAAACCACTAGAACAGATGACTAACGTCTGCCTCACTGAGTGCACTGAAGATGGGACTGATGGGAGACCCAGTGGCTGAATTTCTAGACCCCTGTCCCCGTCCTTAAGCCCAAGCAGAAGCCCCTTCTTGAAAAGCTGTGAAGGCTTCAATGCTCTTTCATTCATGGTTCTAGGAATTACTAACTTCGTTTTAAGGAGATGGTTAATTACTTGTTATGTTTTTTGCTTTTTTCTAGTATATAGTTGATATTTGATATGAATTCGCTGTGTTGTGTCATGATGTTTGTTTTGAAAAAAGTAAGATTTTCCTTTCTATTATCAAGATAAAAAAGATTTTGTTATCAAAAGTTGCCTAGAACACTCTTTAACCTAGCCTTGGGTCTTCTTTTACGTTTGTGTTGTAGTCTTTTTGATCTTTTGGCCAGAAAGTGGAGGTGCCCTCTAAAGGAATAAATGTAAAGCAACAAGAAGTATGACTTGAGCCAGGCGATGGTGGCGCACGCCTTTAATCTCAGCACTCGGGAGGCAGAGGCAGGTGGATCTCTGTGAGTTCGAGACCAGCCTGGTCTACAGAGCTAGTGCCAGGACAGGCTCCAAAGCCACAGAGAAACCCTGTCTCGAAAAACAAAAAAAAAAAAAAAAAAAAAAAGTATGACTTGAGCGTGTCCTTGGAACATTACAGCGCTGACATTAAGCAGCAGAGACACTTGATAAAACGCTTCCCTTCTGTCACCCACATGCAGCTGAAATACATTGCTTTTGGCCGGAGTCTAATGTTGTGTGAGTAGACAAAAAAGAAAACCCGAGTGGGAGCATGTGGGATGTTCTTTAGGATTTTGCAGAAGAGCATTGAAACAAGACTGCCTGTGATGAGTTGTCTCTGCACAGCTGCGCTGCTTGAAGCGTCCCACACCTTTTATTTCCTTTGTGGTCTGATTTACACCATTATTGCCATACCGTGTTTTTGCCATTTGCATCAGTTTGCTGATTTAAACTGACACTGAAGTGGAGCTGTGACCCAGCTTCAGACTGGCTTGACTATATTGAGAAGGTCATCTGTCAAATCACCAGGACAGTGAAGACCTTGTATGTATATAACAATGTTGTTCAAGAGTTACAGATAGGTGTAGAGTCCTACTGATGCTTGTGGCCCTGTGTTAGCGTTCCTACCACCCTGGATTCAGTGATTTGCTCAAATCAGTTTTATTCCTTTGATTAATCTCCCTGAATTACAAAACCAACATGTAGTTTTAATTTGTGCACATTAATGGCTTCAACCCCGTTTTCTGATATCTGTTTTTTCACTGAGTCTGGAACTCACCAATTGGGTAAGACCAGCAGGTCCCAAGCACCAGAGACCCTCCTATTTTGCCTCCCCAGTGCTGGGATTAATGGCACTTGGCAGCATACCTGGCCTTTTAAATGTGGTTGCTAGGAATCCAAACT